GGGTGGCCGGGCGGGGCGGCGGCGGCGACCTTCGCGTCCGCGTGCGCTTCCTGCGCCCCGAGGCCGCGCGCCCGCTTCCTTCCGATGCGCGCCGCCCCGCGGACGGAGGTCTCTGCCCTCCGGGTCTGGCGTTTGTCTGGGGCGAGGGCGGCTCGCGAGGGCTGTGCGCTCCCGGAATCCTGCGGGTCGCCCGGGCCTCGCTGGCACCCCGCCCTCCAGCTGGGACTTCGTCCGAGTGGGGGACGGGCCCTTCCTGTCACCGGGAGCTGAGCGCCGCGGCAGCCGTGGAGCAGCCGTGCGGCGCGAGTCCTCCGGGCTCTGAGCGAGTTCTGGCCTCGCGGGCGCCGTGGAGACCCGGTCCTGGAGGCCGCTGCGGAGCGAGGAGCGCTGGGAATTGGGATTATTTCCTGGAAAGGACTTCGACGTTTTTTCAAACTTAGAAGAGACGGATGTATGAATATGATGGTTTCCGTTTTGGAAGTGCCCACTTTCAGTGTGGTAGTGCTTGATTTTTAAACCCCAGAACAGCGCAGCTGGGCTGGTGTCTAGGGAATGGTGACGTAGGCCTAAAGACAATCCTTCTCCAGAGTTTGTGTGTTCTGTTCATGCGAGAGTGTGCCGCTCTCCTCCCTGATGTGCATGTGCAAAACTCAGCCTCATTTTCGTCTTTGGAAACTTTTTTTTCTTTCTGTGTTCTTTGGTGAAAATGATAATGGAACCGCGGCGTGGGGAGAGCAACGTAATTCTTCGCAGTCCATGGACCCAGCGAGCAGACGTCTCTCCGCAGTAGTTGCTGTGCGGTGTTCATGTGTGATGTTCAGAATACCGAGTGTGCACACATGTACATACTTTAAGTATAGCAAAAGAGTTTAAGCAGAGTGCCATTTTCTTCACCATTTATTTTTGTTTAATTGCTTATATTGGTTTTTATTTTTTAATAGTGCGTTTCTGATACATAATGATTGTATTCTTTTTGGCGAGTTGGTGTGCGTATATGACACGTCCTGTTTTCAATCCTTCCCTCTACATCCCTTAATCCCCTTCCCATGTGACAAGTCTGTTTTCCCGTTTCTTATTGTCTGTCCTTCGTTTTGCTCTTTATTAGTAGCTCAGATAGACAGAAAGCTAACTGCAGAGAAAATGCCCAGCATGAGAGTTATTATAAAACTGCCATGTTTTTGTAAAGGCCTAAAATTGAGATATTTCTCGAAAATAACAGTACAGGAGTCCTTGTTGTTGGCCACTGATGGATGACAGTGAGTCTGCTGAGGTTTGGGGGAGGTGTTGTTAAACTTAACCTATTGAGTGATTCTGTGAGCAAATGAATGAACATTCTAATTTTTAGTGTTCTTTTATTTGGAGCTTTGTAAGATTCTGCAGGTAGTCTACGGCTATACCACCCTTGTCTTAAGATTCTGCAGATATTTTACATGTATTTTGTCACTGTATTTTCTAATTTAAGAAAAGCATTTACCAAACTTTCAGATTAAACTGAAGTAGCCAGTGGAATGGAACTTTAACATTCTTGTCCATTAAATAATCTTTGGGGAGGAGGAACAGGTACAGAAATGAAGAGTTAGAGATGATTTTTTTTAAACTAATACTTAAATCATGTTTTTCTTTTTGTCACCTTGTAATTTTCAAAAATAAACTTTTAATATTTTGAAGCATTTGAAGCTTCTATTATAGACCACAAATCTAAGGAAGGGAAGCTGTTAAGATGTGTGTGGTGCCATGCTTTGTATGTACCTGGCGCAGTTAGACCAATATATTACAGCTTGAGGTAAGTAGAAGAATTTTTTTTAATGTATTTGGTCCAGGGTCTAGAGGGTCTCACTGCAGAGATCGGACTCCTAGTGATCCTCTTGCTTTCAGCCTCCCAAGCGCTGGGATTACAGATGTGTACCACCTGGAGGGCTCTATCACCTTCACAGCGTGCGTGCGCTGGGGGCAGGACTGCATGGCACTCCCGGGATCAAACCCGGGCTCCCTGCACCTGCCTGAGCAGGCGCTTAATCTGCTGAGCTGCTTGGACGGCCCTAGCTTTGCTTTTAAAGATCACATATAATTGTTTTTCTGAGGATGCCACTTTGAAATTTTCTTTGGCTATTGGTTAATGGGAAGGAAATTGAGCTGAGAAAATCAAGCGTTTTTTAAAGCTATTAATTTGCAGCAGTGTAGCCCACAGATTTTTTTTCTTAAACATAGTTGTAAAAACTTTAGGCCAAAAGAAGTTCACATTTTCCACTACTGGGGCAGCAGTATTTACAGCAAAGCACTTTTGTGAATATGAAATTGTGGTGTAAAGCTCAAAAGAACCATTTCTTAGACTCTAAAAGGAAGAAACCTTCTGATAAGAATCTTTTTTCCTTCCCCTCCAACCTTCAGAACAATGCACTCTAGGGGCCTCACCATTTTTTTCTTTGCAGACTGTCTCAGGTACACAGCTTTCACTTACCTCTCCTGAGCACAGGTCCCCATTTTTCTCTATTGGTAATCTTCACAGGAGACAACTGACTAGATGAGTTCAAGTGGAGCCTATCCAAAAGTAACTCTGTAGACTCCCTTTTCTGGCCCACTAACAGGGGACTCTAGCACGTGCTCATTTTTCTCCCTTACTCCCCTTGTTCGCTGTCCAGGATTCGTATTCCGCCTAGTACTGGGGGTTGAACCCAAGGGCTTCTCACATGCAAGACGCTCTGCTACTGAGCTACATCCCCAACCCTTTTTATTTTTTAAAAATAAAGCCTTGCTAAATTGGCCAGGCGGGCCTCAGACTTCTCCCCCTTCTGCCTTAGCCTCCATGGTGGCTGATTACAGGTGTATGCCACCATGTCTGTCTGTTGGATTTTTAACTTGTCTGCCCTTTACCTTACGGATCCAGATTTTGTCTCTTCCATCATCAAGATGTTTTGGGTACAAATAATTCATTTTTTTCTTGAAAATTTAGTTCATTTATATTAATACTTGGCTTATTTTCAGATTATTACATTGTTTAATGACAAAATGTTCCTGTACAAAGAAAACAACTTTATTTTGTGACATCAGTTAAGGAAGGAAAAAAAAAAAAAAAAGGAAAACTGAGGTTAGAAAACGTGTCATTATCTTTTCTTTGCTTTTTAAATTGTATATGCCACTGTTATGTTTACAAAGTTCCTAGACTAAAAGTTTCCTCCAGTTACCTTGTATGTAAGCTGTTGATTTCCTGGTCTTAATATTTTCGTAGCTGGATCTTCTGTTTCCTCGTAAGGAACCCGGAGTTGAAGTGGCATTCACAGCCCTGTAGTCCATTCTAACCTAAATAATGCTGACATGTCCAGTGCATCAGTATATAGTCATGCTGTGAAATCAAAGAGACTTGTGTTCGAGGCCATGTCTAGCGCCTCGAGTAAGCTATTTTATCTCTGCTGTTTCCTCTGAAGCTTGAGGACCTAGTAGTACTGCTTTGGTTAGATGATGATTGTTCTCGGTGTCCGTCATGGAGATGCTTTTCTGTGCTCAAGACATCTTGGTCCTTTTGAGCGTCAGTACTGCTCCCAAGTCTGTCCCCTTTTTTAATTAAGAATGTGACTCATCTCTGACGATTTTGTTCAGATCCCAAGACCAGTTCAGTTTAATCTTCTAAACTCTAGTATACATCATCTAATGTATCATTAAATTCAGTTTTGCTTATTCCCTAAATATGGAAACGTTCCATTTAGCGTTCGGCAGAAACCTGCCGGTGATGCGTGAGTAGAGCGGCTCCCTAATGCATGGACAAAAATACCACGAATTCGTAGAATTAGGTTTTGTGAGAAGAGAGGTAGCATATAATGGCAGGTTTTTGAAGAAAAATGTAGTTGCCTAAATTTTTCATTGCTAACTAGTGCTGCCAGTTTTAAGGTTATAGAACTGTAGATGGTCAGAGGGAGAGTCCGGTGCTCTTTGAAGTCCAAGGGCTGTTGGCTAGGACTCACTTGCTGAGTGGTTTACAGTTTGTGTGCTTGCCCTTCACTGTGCAAGCGTAACCTGTTTTCACAAACTGCAGGTTTATACATGCAATATAAATTGCCATTGTATTTTATCATGTGTTGTGTTGTTACTAACTAGGAAGTACATTCAACCAGTAGGCTGTCGATTTAGGAAATCTGCTAGTTTCTGTAGATGAGCAGTGCCGCACCCACTCCTTCCCCAGCAGGACTTGAATAGCTGCTGTAACACTGGTAGAGTTCTTCAAACTGCACGTCCAAGCACATTTGTAGTGTATTTTCTTGCATTGGGGAGCTAGTTCTACATAAAAGAAGGTTAGGTTAATGTATAGGGTATTGTACTTCAGTGTAATATCAAAGAGATTCAGAAATAATTTTCAGGGTTGAAAAACATGATAGCAAAATTTGGCTAGTGGTTCTATGCTCTGATCTAAAAGGCTCATTAGTCTGCAACAGTCACTTATTCCAGAGGATCTGCACATATCAAAGAAAACAGTCTTTGTATTGACAGATTCCATAAAAATAGTCAGAAGATGTAAAAATAAAAGGGAAAATTTCACAAATTTTGAAGATTAGATATACAGTCTCTCAACATTCTTGCTCACAAGACGTGCTTGTGAACCAAGCACGGGGGTTTATGTGCAGTACCAGCCCTCAGGAGGCTGGGGCAGGAGGCTTGCTGGGAGTCAGGGCCCCCAGTCTAGGTTACAGAGTACATTTGGAGCCAGCCTAAACTGCACAGCAAGACCCTGTCTCAAAAAAACAAGCAAGAAGGTTCTGTTGTGTTTAACTATGAAATCTAATGGCTGAGAACTTTCCTTGCATATTTGAGTACACAATGAAAATTTGAAAATTAACAATAATTTTTGAAAACTCTCTCTAATGTTAGTTTACCAAACAAGTTGAATATCCCTTATATAGAATGCTTAGGACTAGAGTTGTTGTAAACTTTGAAGTTTTTCAGATTTTGGAGTATTTGCTTGTACATAATCAGATATTTTGAGAGTGGTACTCAGTCTAAACACAGACTTCACATATATTTTATATATACCTTATTCACATAACAAGTAATTCTTTACAATGTTTTTAGTAATTTCTGTATGAAACTATTTCATTATATGGTATAAATTCACATTTTGCAGCCTTTTAATTTTGTGTTTTCAAATCAGAGATACTTAACTGATACTTTCCCTGGAACGATAAGAAGATGAGAGATTTTAAAAAAGATTAGGCGTGACCCTTGGAGTGAAGTGATACACACTTAGCACCAAGTGTAAAAGTACTGGGGACTTTCAAGAAGGAGCATTGCTATTCTTCCAAATATTAAGGATTATGAGATTGGTAAAAGCCTTTGGGTGTCAGAGAAAGTGACAGGAAGCAAATCCTAGTATCCAGCAGGCACTTTAACACATACATTTTCAGGTAATTGTCATAATCTTGTTATGTCCAGAATACAGTCTGGGAAATAGTAGATTAGAGGTCATTTAGTGGCCTTCCAGAGAGCAATTTTAGGCAGGCGCGGTGGTGCACACTTCAAAGGGAGGCTGAGACAGGAGGACCAGAAGTTTGAGTTTCACCTAGAAAATCTAGCGAAGTGCTGTGTCAAAGAGTTGGGATGTAGCTTAGTGGTAGAGGCTCCACTTGTGGATGAGGCTGGAAGGTCTGTTCCTTTTAGTATAAAAAGAACGGGAGAAAAGGCTACCCAGGTGACTTGGATGTGCAGCCTGCAGTGAGTCTTGCTGTATTAGGTGGTCAGTGAATGAATAAATAATTTGACTAAAATACAAATTATTCTTGAAAAAATTGATAGTGAAGCAAAGAAAAATACATTTTCCTAGTTTATGTTTTCCTACTGTTTCATTTTAAGGATTTTTGTGGTGGTTTTTCTGTATTTAGGGCAGAATACAGGGTCTCACTACATAGATATGAGACTTGTAGTGATTCTCCTGTTTTCAGCCTCCCAAGCGCTGGGGTACAGGAGCCCCCCACCATGCCCAGTCTCAGTCACCCTTGCGGTACGCCCCAAGGGGCAGGGCCAGCACAGCAGGTTGGGCTTCAGCCATGGCTGGCTGCTGCACTCTCAGGCCAGCCCTAAGGATTTGTTTTTTAAGAGAAAATTGAGGGCCAGGGAGATGGCTCAGTAGAACAAGCACTTGCCTGGCAAGACAAGGGCCTGAGTTCAATCCCTGGTTCCGCCAAAAAAAAAAAAGAGAGAGAGAGAGAGAAAATTGAGAAATATTTTCATCTGTGAGAAATGATGTCAGAGAAGAGAAAGAAATTGAAATGTAAAATTGAATAGTTTATATAACCTGTTCTTTTTCACTTGATGCCTTTTTAGGGTTCATGTATTTAATGTCTTAAACACATAAAATATCTTTAAAGAATAGCTGTTCAGTAGATGATGTAGATTATAGGTTTTATTTTTAATTAACATTCAAAATGATTATAAAGAAAAATTTTCTAAGGAAAACTTAAAACACATGACAACTATTAAGTATGTTCAGTGAATTGACTATGAACATATGGTATAAATTTCAAGGAAGTCTTTTTTTCTTTTTTACTGACTTTTTTTTTTTTTTTTTTTCAGAACCAGGGATTGAACACAGGCCTTTGCGCTTGCCAGGGAAGCACTTACTCTACTGAGCCATCTCCCTAGCCCATTACTGACAGTTTTCAGAAAGAGAATTTTTGTTTTTTTCATTTATAAATTCATTCATTTCGGGGGCCTGCCCCGTAGCTCAGTTCTTTAAGTGGCTGCTTCAACAAAGCAGTCAGGCTCCGGTTGCTTTGGTTCGATCCCCACAACACAAGACAGCCAGTCATGCCTTGAAGGCATTCAAAAAAAAAAAATTCATTCATTTCCTAGACACTGTTGGCCGTGGGAAACTTCGCTGTAACGACGTTCATGCTTGGTCTTAACTGATTGTTTGAATCTCGTATGACATAAAGAATTAGTACTCAGACTTTCAAACCCTAAACAACCTCAGTAGCTCCAGTCTTTGAAAGGTTGGCAATTTATGTTATAAAACAAAAACTATATAATAACAGTACATTCTCCTAGACTACATCTAGCTGAGTAAACCCCTCTTGCTTTTCTCTAGAGAATTTAACTTGGATTCCTCACTGTGGCAACTTGAAGCTTTACGTAAAGGTACTTTGGGTTTTTTTCCATAATTGCATTGAGAAATAGCAATGAGACAGTTTCAAATCAAATTAGTAGGACAGTTTCAATAATTAATACATAGCATATTGTTTTCTTAGTGGTTATAGTAAGAGAATTTTTACAGTTAGAGGAAGCAACTTCAAATAATTCTTACAGTTGAAGTAGAAACATGCATAGTAGTTCCTTTACTACCAATTTGTAAGGCAGTGACCCTTTTTGATGTCAGACCTTGAAAATTGAGTAGAACCTGATTTTGTACTCACATTTTGTGCGTACAGTTCCTTCTAGGGCTTGGGTTGTGTATGTGGTCTCTCCTCAGGATCCCCTGGGAGGGTTTTCTAAAGTATAGATGCCTGGATTCCAGTTCCTGGCAGTTGCTTTTGTAGGTCTGGGATGGAGCTTGGGAGTCTATGGGGGGTTTATTTTTTTATGTTTTCGGAAGCTTTTCAGGTGACTGTGGTAGGCTTCCATATTTCAGCAGTTCCTGTCCTTATTAATGAATTTCTCCACGTGGAAACTGTAGGCATCATGGGTAGCGTGCTAAGATGAAATACAGATGTTTAGATACATTTGTATTTAAGATAAGCAGTGAATCATTTTAAATGTAGCTGTTCTCCATGTTGTGTCTTTGAACTGCTGAAGAGTAGTGGGCTGTTCACCTCTAAATTTAGGTTCCAGGTGGCTATTTTTTGTGGTGTGTGTATATGCATTTCTGGGCAATACATTGTGTACTTTTTACGCTTGATAGGCTGCTTTCTAACCACTCAAACTAGGACTCCATTTCCTGCTGTGATTGACAGCGTTTTATTAATCACTTATACTTAACAGCTCTCTGCTAAGGGAGACCCAGTTTACTGTACAGAACTACACAGGTTATACTTGGGAAGAGAGAAAGGGCAAGGGGGGATTTGGGGAGCAGACTTTATAGTATCCAACGGATTGGTGATGCCTGGTTCCTGAGGGAAGAAATGCTTGGCTTGTTCTGGTAGTTATGTGGACTGGAAGGAACTGAGTTGTGCTACTTAGGGCTAAGTAGAAACAGTGTCTGTTCATGTGATAAGTCAGGTTGTTTGACTTAGAGATCTTATCTGTGGTTGAAGAGTTGAGAGGGCCTTAGTTTTAGGCTACATCCACAGGTCTCAATGTTTTATCAAAGATTTTGGTAATGATCATTGTAATACATAATATATCAAGGTGTTTATAGTATGGAAATCTTCCTTTCTATATGACCACTTCTGCTGATAACTTGCAGTACACAAACGGTGTCAAGGTAATACATAGGGGGTTGTGTGTAGGCACGAAAGACAAGAATCGTTGAGCGACTGAGTGGCGTGGTAAGGCTTCACTGCTGTGTGTGTGGGGAAGGAGTGGATAGGTTGTTGCGGTAGGAAAGTAGCGGAGACCTGGAAAGGTAATAGCTGTGGTTGGAGTACTTGCTCTGTGCCAAGTGTTTTTCTCATCGTAGTGACTCATTTTCTGAAGTTGAAGAAACCGAATTAGTTTGCCTAAGGTCATGCAGGCAGTGTAGCTGTAGTATGATTTCATGCAATCTTCTTAAGAGTTTATGCTGGTAAGAGTTGCATATTATAGTCTTGGAAGAGCCTTGATGTCATACTAAATACTTGATCTGTATCTTGTTGGCAGTGGGGTACCTTTGGATAATTTTAAGTGAGAAAGAATTACGTTTGTATCAAAGGTCACTGGTCGTGTAACTATGGGAGAGAAGGAAGAAAATGCAGTGATTTATAGAGATTGTGCTAATAATTTGATCAAGAACAAAAAGGAGTAGATGTGGGTTGAGATAGTCCAAGATACATTTGAGGCGCTTTATTACAGTTAGAAAATTAGATACTGGTCATGAGAGGTTGTGATGGGATATATGTAAGAACTACCTTGTGGTGATACTAGAGGCAATGGAATAGAGTGAGATTACCCCGAGATTTCTTTTGTCTCCAGCCTGTCTTCTGAATCGGCATAGAGAGATACTGCTACTGTCATTGGCGGCAACTATGTAAAATGCCCCAGACTTAATATTGTGAAGATTTGATTCAAATCCTGGTTTATCTCTGCTTTCTCTTCCGTAGATTAGGCATACCATAGTGATAGCTGTGCCGAAGAATACTAGCACAGGTAATGTTGCGTCTAGTAGGATCAGGGGTTCAAAAGGTAAAAAGTGATGCCCCGCATTTCCCTTAGCTTTGCCTTTTTAAAAACTTGGGCTACAGGATCAGTGACGGGAGTCTTGCTTAGTGTGCGTGGCATGCTGTGTTCAATCCACAGCACCAATTAATACATAAATAAGGGTTATTGTTTTGAAAGAAACCAGCCGAGGGCTGGAGAGATGGCTCAGTGGTCTAAAGCACCTACTTAGAACAAGCTTGGCAAGGCATCAGGGACCGCGGTTCAATCCCCCAGCACCACAT